GTAACCTTCAGAGGATCCCTATATTACTTATATCTAATATAATGTACATTATGTAAAGAGCTATTACACCGTATTTTTTAGGGTATTGTAATGTATGCCAATGTAATGTATTGTAATGTGCTGAACATTATAGTACGTTAGTACACATAGAACTACCCTTTTTTTCTCCAAAAGTATTTTCAATCCAGTCGGCTGAATCTACAGATGCAGAAGCCATGGACATGGAGGGCTAATTGTGTGTGTGTGTATGTATGTATGTATGTATGTATGTATGTATGTGTGTGTAAAATCAAATGTGTTAGCCTAATCTTCTGTAGCCTTACTAATCTTTTTTTCTGTTTGATTTGTTAATTTCTGATGGACATGTGTTAAAATATCCTACTATGGTAGCTATTCTTTTTTCATTTCTTGTAAATCTGTCAATTTTTACTTATATGTTGAGGCTTTATCCGCAGGTGCATACACATTAATGGTGTTATATCTTCATGATAGTATCCCTTTTGTTACTGGAAGTGTTCCTCTTTTCCCTTCCTCAGTGCTTGCTTTGTGTAGGTTTATCAGCTAATTTAAATAAATATTGATATACAGGTTTGACTTGTTTTTATGTTAGGATTTTTCATCCCTTTATCTTAAAATATTTCTGTGGTTCTGTTTTAAGAACCTCTTGTAAGCTGCATGAAGTAGATTTTTTAAAAATCAAATATGTGGTTGGATTTTTTTTGTATCATCTTTTATCTTCATTATCATTGTTTTTGTTTGCTTCATTTATTCTTTCCTATTATCAGTGAAAATAATAAAAAAGTATTACTATAGTTCTTTTCTCCTTAGCTGTACATTGTAAGCTACAGGTACTATTTCTGTTCTTTTGATTTTCCTCAATGTTTTTCAAAACAAATATGGTTACCTATACATTTTTCAAAAGTTATTCTTTTATCACAAACACAAATCCACTTTACATACTGTTCATTTTGTTACTGATACATAGAAATATAGTTTAGCCTTTCCAAGGCAAAAACTTAAAAAAATTTTTTTTAACTATTCAACAATTCATTAAATTTATTAACACATTTACTAATATTTATTTTTATTTTTTGAGACAGTGTCTCAGTCTGCCACCCAGCCTGGAGTGCAGTGGCGTGATTCTGACTCACTGAAACCTCAGCCTCCTGGGTGCACGTGATCCTCCTACCTCATGCTCCAGAGTGGCTGGGACTACAGGCACATATCACCACACCTGTATAATTTTTGTTGTTGTTGTTGTTTCGAAGAGATGGGGTTTTGCCATGTTGCCCAGGCTGCTCTTAAACTCCTAAACTCAAGCGATTTGCCCACCTTAGCCTCCGAAAGTGCTGGGATTAGAGGTGCAAGCCACCAGGCTACATCTACCAGTTTCTTTTTCACCATTAGTTATTGTATTTCTTGACTTTCCTCTGAGTAAAACTTTCCTTCTAGCTAAAAAACACAATCCAACCTATCTTATAATGAATGAGTGTCTAGAGGTAGTAAACTCTCCTGGTCATTTTATGTTTGAAATGGTTTTTATTTATTCCTTTTTCCTCATTGTTGATAAATTTAGGTGTAACTTTACATAAAGTCTATAATTTGATGACTTTTAATATATGTATACGATGCATTTCTGTAACCACTACCCAGATAAAGAAATAGAACATTTCTAGCACCTCAGAAATCTCCTTCATGCTTCCCAGTCAAGGACTATTCTAATAATCTGTTTCCAAAGATCTTATATACATGTTTCTGAACTTTCTATATATCAATATAGTATGTACTTTGAGTCTTATTACACTTAACATTATGTTGCTGCTTTCATCTGCAGTTATTTTTTATTGCCACATAGCATTTCCTTGTGTGAATATACCACTAATTATCCATGATGAATAAACCTACTGTGAACATTCTTAAATATGTCTTTCAGTGAACATAAGCACTCATTTTTGTTTAGAATAGGCCTAAGAGTTAAAATACTGGGTCATAGGGTACAGTTGTATGCTTAGCTCTAGTAGACATGCCAAACAGTTTTCCAAAGTGACTGTAACAAATTACACCCTAGCCCCCACCAGCAAGGAGACTTCCAACTGCTCCATGGTTTTAAATTGCATTTCCTTGATGAATAACAATGCTGAGCATCTTTTTTGCGTGTGAAGTACCTACTCAAGTCTTTTGTCTATTTGCTAAAAAGCAAAACCCTGAAGTTTTAGTTATTGATTTGTAGGCATGGAGGTTTTTTTGCTTGTTTGTTTTTTTAAGAAAGTCTTGCTCTGTCACCCGGGCTGGAGTGCAGTGGTGTGATCTTAGCTCACTGCAACCTCCACCTCCCGAGTTCAAGCAATTCTCCTACCTCAGACTCCCAAGTAACTAGGATTACAGGCGCCCGCCACCACACTCAGCTAATTTTTATATTTTTTCAGTAGAGATGGGGTTACACCATGTTGGCCAGGCTGGTCGTGAACTCCTGACTTCAAGCAATCCACCCGCTTCAGCCTCCCAAAGTGCTGGGATTACAGGCATCAGACATTGTGCCCAACCCAAGATTTTCTCTTTATTTTTTATGTTCTCTATTTTCACAGCCATGTTTTTAGCTGTGTATTTTTATTTATCTTGATCAATATTTGGAATTTAATTTTGATCTGGGAACTAATGCTTTCATTCCTTGAAAATTATCCATTTTTATCTTTTCAAATATTATTTCTCCATCACTCATTGTCCGGAACTCCTCTTAGATGTATACTAAGCCTCTCAGTGTTTCCTTTTTACTTGCTTTTTTTTGAGATGGAGTCTTATTCTGTTGCCCAGGCTGGAGTGCAGTGATGTGATCTAGGCTCACTGCAACCTCCGTCTCCTGGGTTCAAGTGATTCTCCTGCCTGAGCCTCCCAAGTAGCTGGGATTATTAGGCATGCGCCACCACAGCCAGCTAAATTTTGTATTTTTAGTAGAGACGGGTTTCACCATGTTGGCCAGGCTGGTCTCAAACTTTTGACCTCAGGTGATCTGCCCACCTCGGCCTCTCACAGTGCTGGAATTACAGGCATGAGTCACCACGCCCAGCTATCCTTATTACTTTCAATTGGCCTTTCATATTTCTTATCTTAGTCTGTGTTACATTATCAGTGAAGTCCTCAATTTCATCTCCAATTTACTAATTTTATTATTGAACTGGGTCCAGCAAATGTTATACTATATAAGTTATTTCAATGATTGTATAATATATTTAATTCTCAGTATCTGTCTTTTGATATCTATCTGCTCATTTACTTTCCACCTATTTTTGTTTCACAATGATGTCTTCTTTATAAATGGATCATATTCCTTCACTTATCTCTTTGAGCATCCTAAACTTCTTTTAAACTTTTTGTATACCTATTGTACAACATTAATTTCATCTGGAATAAATTCATGATATAATTGTTGATTTTATTAGATTATCATTCTGAAAATTAGAATTTGTCTTGTTTTTTGGAATTTTGTATTACATGCTTAGTGCGAGACTTTTAATGTTTTGTTTCCTTTTTTTCTCCCATTCCTTTATGATCACTCTTCCAAACTAGAATCTACTCTTCAAATGACTTTGGGGGTTCAAGCTTCATATTGGCTTAATGTTGTGGGAAAATTATTATTGTAAGGCAACATTTTTGTCTCCCCATGTCAAGTCTACAACTTTTCAGAAAACTTTACTGAAGATAGCAGGTTGGCAGATTATCCCAGCATCCTATTATAAGGAAAGACTTGGGCAAGAAGTCTTGCTCTGGCTTTCACAGAACACGTCTGAAACAATTCATTGTCCTTAAGAACCTAAACACCCAGATACCAGAGCTCACTACCTTGAATGTGTATTACATTTCTAATCTTGTTTTCAAGTCTAGTTACATATATATTCCACTTTTTAATTTTTATACTTTATTACTTATGTGTGTTTAGAGCAGGAATGCAGAGGCTGTGGTGATGCTTGAACTTACCATTGTGTTTTGCCATTGTTTTTAAATATTTATATTTTAAAAATATTAAAAAAAATATTTTACAAGCTCAATACTGGATCATAATGAGTAGAATTTATAGAACATAGCAAGAGCTAGAAACCTCAGAATGACTCTTAATGCTAACTTATTAGGATTGACTCATGTATTTTAGCATTTGAAATACCTAAGGAGTTAGTTATCTAACACTCATGGTATCTGAATCACCCAGGCCCTGGATGTTATTGTCCTATTCACTTCATTCCTATTCTAAATAATAATGCAGTTATCACATATTGAGTAGCTTACTATGTGAAAGTGGATAGCTAAATACTTCAGATAGGTTATTCAATTTTCACAAAAATCCTGAGTCCTATGACAGGTTAAGTATCTCTCACCCAAAATGAAGTGTTTTAGATTTCACATTTTGGAATATTTGTAGTATACCTACTGCTTCAGCATCCTGAATCTGAAAATCCCAAATCTGAAATGTTCCAATGAACATTTCCTTTGAGTATCATGTTGGTGCTCAAACAGTTTCAGATTTTGGATCATTTCAGATTTGGGATTTCTGGCTTAGGGATACTCAACCTGTATTATCATTCTTCTTTTATAAATAAAGATACAGAGGTTTAGAGAAATAAAATAACTTCCCACTGGTCACACAACTAATAAGTAGTGGAGCTTAGACCGGAACACAAGTAATCTGACCTCAGGTCCAAGTATTGTGGTCTCTTCCTTAATATTCATTTGTTGACTTTTCTTAACCTTTTACAGTAGGCCATTGGGTGACAGCTGTAATACCTCCCCTTAGTGGTATCTGCTTTCCTATAATTAACCAGATACCATTTTTCTATGTTTGGTAAGATAACAGAGACATATGTTAACAATGACCCTATGGAAAAGGAGCAATAACAGATAGTCAACAATTAGTATCTATGACTTTAGCTGGAGAGAAGTAAGACTCTCAATTTTAATGTAAATTGTAGGCTTTTATGCAGACTTTTTGGGTATATAATTGAAGAACTTACCTCTGCTAAGTCTTCAAAGCAGCTTCCTACTAGTGGATGGGGACTCCCTTCATCTGTCATTTCTACTGTATCTTCTATATGGCCCAGTAACTTTACACTAAGTTCATGTATATCTACTATACGACTAAATATATTTTCTACATCCTGTTTGGGGGAAAACACATTAATTCAGTGAGGCTGTATTATAATATTAAACAAATTTTGAGCCAATATGTCATTTTATAATCACAAAATTTAACATGGCATATACAGTAAAAAATTCTCAGACTTACAAATATGAATAAAAGACAATTCAAGAATTCCTTTTGGAAGGATAAATAATTTGCAAATACATTTCTCTAGGTCTTGAAACTTTTTGGTCTCAGGGCTCCTCACACTCTTAAAAATTACTGAAGATTCTAAAAACCTTTTGTTTATAACTATGTATTTCAATGTTTATCATGTTAGAAGTTAAAAACCAAAATTTTTAAAAATATTTAATTCATTAAAAATAATAAACCCATTATGTGTTCATATAAATAGTACTTTTATAAAAAGTAACCAAAGTTTTTTTTTTTAAACTATAACAAAAAACATTTAAAAGAATGGAAATGTTTTACATTGCAAATCTCGACCATAACTTAAGAGAAGACAGCAGGATTTTCATATCTATTTCTGCATACAATCTGTTGTGATACATTATTTCGAAGTATATGAAAATCTTGCTTTTCTGTGTAATTATTCTATTGATATAAAATTCATATACAATAAAATTCACCCGTTAAAAGTGTACTTATTAGTCACTGGTTTTCAATATTGGTTGTGCAGTCATCACCAGTATCAAATTCTGGAACATTTCATTATCACAAGAGTAAACCCTGTGATTTTTTTGGAAGGTGGACAGCTAAATACCTAGTACAGTCACTCTCCATTCCTTTCCTCTCCCCAGTGGAGAGGAACCACTAATTTACTTTGTCTCTATGGATTTGTCTATTCTGGACTTTCCATATAAATAGAGTGACTATCCTTTTATGATACCATACTAAAATTCAACAAATGATAGTTTCTTAAAGGTTAGTTTCAATGTGGAATCCATTTTATACTGTTAAATAAAATTGGTTACTATTATTTGATTTCTTTTTTTTATCAATGACTATATCAAGTCAACTTTGAAGCTATTTTAAATGTATTTTTGGTAGATTTTTGTGTAGTTATTCACTCTCTTAACCACCATAACAATCAAGATACAGAACCTTTTAATCATCTTAAAAAGTTTCCTTGTGCCCCATTTCCATCAACCCTTATTACATCTAACTCCCAGGAAACCTGTGATCTGCTTTTTGTCTCTACAGAAGTGTCTTTTCTAGGATATTAAATAAGTGGAATCATATATTGTCTTTTGTGCCTAGTTTTTTGCTCATGTTTTTGAGATGCAACCATGCTGTTGCATGCATAACTATTTCATTCCTTTTTATTGCTAGGTAGCATTCCACTGTATGGTCATACCACAATTTGTTTATACATTCACCTGCTGAGGGACATTTGGGTTGTTTCCAGTTTGGGGCTATTACAAATAAAGCTTCTACGAACATTCATGAACCAGTTTTGCACAGACCTGTTTTCATTTCTTCTGGGCAAAAACCTAGGATCGGAATTGCTGGGCAATATGGTTTAGTTTATGTTTACTATTATAGAGAAATGCCAAACTGACCAGGCACAGTGACTCACGCCTCCCAGCATTTTGGGAGGCTGAGGCTGGTGGATCACTTGAGGTCAGGAGTTTGAGACCAGCCTGGCCAACACGGTGAAACCCTGCTTCTACTAAAAATATAAAAATTAGCCAGGCTTAATGGCATGTGCCTATATGATCCCAGATAGACGGGAGGCTGAGGCTGGAGAATCGCTTGAACCTCGGAGGCAGAGGTTGCAGTGAGCCAAAATTGCACCCCTGCACTCAGCCTGGGCAACAGAGCAAGACTCTGTCTCAAGGAAAAAAAAAAGAGAGAGAAAGAGAGAGAGAGGGAGAACTGCCAAACTATTTTCCAAAACATTTATACTAGTTTACATTTTCAAGTAATGTGGGAATTTTATATTTCCACAAGCAGTTAGTTGCTCCATACTCATTTCAACTTCTGGTATTATAAGTCTTCTACATTTTAGCCTTTCTAATCAGTATGTAGTAGTATCTCGTGGTTTTAATTTGCATTTCTCTATAATTAGTGATGCTGAACACTTTTTGATGTGCTTTTTGGCCATTTTGGTTCTTTTATGTCCTCAGAAACCTTTGTCTCTTCTTTTTTTTTTTTTTTTTTTAAAAGATGGAGTTTCGCTGTTGTTACCCAGACTGGAGTGCAATGGCACGATCTCGGCTCACCGCAACCTCCGCCTTCTGGGTTCAAGCAATTCTCCGGCCTCAGCCTCCCGAGTAGCTGGGACTACAGGCGCACACCACCATACCCAACTAATTTTTATATTTTTAGTAGAGACGGGGTTTCATCTTGTTGACCAGGATGGTCTTGATCTCTTAACCTCGTGATCCACCTGCCTCGGCCTCCCAAAGTGCTGGGATTACAGGTGTGAGCCACCGCGCCCGGCCCTGCCTCTTCTTTACTCTTATTTTTTTAAGCAGCTTTATTGAAACAATATTTACAAACCATGCAAAGTGAATAATTTAATGGTCTTTAATGTAAATCTGAATAACAGGTTTGTACAACCATTACCATGATATACTACTTTATTTTTTAATGCTCACTCATTGCCATAGCTTGAGCCCAAACCAAACCCAGCCTCTGTAGTGAGTACTGTTTCTCTATCAATCATTTATGGCTGTGTGGCTACAGTTCCAGGAATTACTGGTGTGTAACTCTTATGACAATCTCACCCGTTTTCACTCAGCATTTCTTCAGGATCCAATTAGGTTAGTTTGATTACTATCCTAAGATCAGCAATCCTTTGTCTAAGTTTCAATGTTACTGGCCCCTTCCTTGGTGCTCCCAGTAATACTGCTGTCATGTTTCTACCATGCTAATTACCATATTTTATTGCAATTTAAAGTTTATATCTCTGTCTTGACTAAACTTAAGGAAAGGAACGGTTTCTTTTTCTTTTTCTTTTGAGACAGAGTTTTGCTCTTGTTACCCAGGCTGGAGTGCAATGGCTCAATCTCAGCTCACCGCAACCTCCGCCTTCTGGGTTCAAACAATTCTCCTGCCTCAGCCTCCTGAGTAGCTGGGATTACAGGCGTGCGCCACCATGCCCAGCTAATTTTTGTATTTTTAGTAGAGACGGGGTTTCACCATGTTGACAGGATGGTCTGGATCTCTTGACCTCATGATCCACCAGCCTCTGCCTCCCAAAGTGCTGGGATTATAGGTGTGAGCCACCACGGCCGGCCAAACTGTTTCTTATTCATCTTTGAATCCCTGCTGCCAAGCATGGTAACTGACAATACAGTTGGCATTAATGAAGCTGAATGAATCAAATGATTCAAATTAAACAAAAATATCTTCTACCTAAACAAGAAGGTTTATCCTTTGGAGTACATGGACAATTCTTTGAACTCATTTGCACTTATATAATCAGTGTACTTTGTATTTTGTCTCTTAATTTCTGATGTTAAAGCTCTTGAAACTGTTATAGCACTTTGTGACCCTCAGTTAAGTCCCACAACTTAAAAAAAAGAACTCATTAGTAATCATGAACTATACAACTTCAAATTTGAAGTGGTTATGCAAATTTCACAACACATCCAATGATAAGCATATTACAACAATACTTACATTAGCTGAAAACAATTTTGAATTGGAGACAAAAGGCTCTCTAAAAACTTTTATAATTAGATTTAGTTCCCTTATATATTGTCGAATTTCTGCCATAAATGCTTTTACCAAATCATAGTAAGTTTGTTCTCCTGAAGTGGAAGGTTCTTCATCAGTTAAAGATAATATATTAATATCTTCTACATCTTGATGAAACATATCCATCAATACCTACATGGTCAGAGATATTAAAAAGTATAATAAAATATGAAGCTTTAGTCAAATTTGAAGTGAAATGCTCTAAGTTCTCTGAATAAAGTTCTTAAAGGATAAAAAAAAGCAGACATGCAAATTTCTCCTCTTCGATATATTGCCAGCATTCCTCCACAGTTTCTCTAAAACAGAATTCAACATCTGATACCACTCACTATCCTCCTCCAAGTTCTCTATCACTACTAGTATTTATCTGTCTGTCTCTCTTGTTAACCTATTACTTCCAATTTGTTCCCAGATCCTGTCTTTAATTTCTCTGGCTTGGTTTTCTCTGTTTTATGCCCTGCCATCATCACTTTATTCCATGGCCTCAATACCTCATATTTAAATAATTTTTATACCCTTTTATTTGGTCTATTTTCCTAGATTTGTTGGATATAGATCAAAATAAACTTTTCTCCAAGTCTACTACTACTCTTGCTAAACACATCTTTTGCCTTCTTGTGAGCTTCTACAACATCATATCCCATAACACAATACAATGATAATATTTTACTTTGTGTGCTTTCTGACTGTTTCATGAATATAAGTATACCTTCATCAACTCTGGAGCCTTGTTTTATACATACTTCTCTTGCATCTACTCCCTGTGTAAACATGTAGTAGGTAGTCAAAAATAGTTTATTTATCTGATTCATTAAAAAGCATCAAGGCCATGGCACGGTGGCTCATGCCTGTAATCCCAGCACTTTGGGAGGCCAAGATGGGCAGATCATGAGGTCAGGAGTTTGAGACTAGCTTGACCAACATGGTGACACCCCATCTCTACTAAAAATACAAAATTTAGCCAGGCATGGTGGCACGCACGTGTAATCCCAGCTACTCAGGAGGCTGAGGCAGGCGAATCACTTGAACCCGGGAAGTGGAGGTTGCAGTGAACCAAGATCGTGCCATTGCACTCCAGCCTGGGCGACAGAGCAAAACTCCGTCTAAAAAAAAAAAAAAAAAGCATCACGTATTTCATATTGATGTCTAGATAATATTTTTCAAAACTAAATACGTATTCATTTAGAAATACTAAAATATTTGAAATTCTTCTTCAAATCAGGTTTTTTTTTCACTCTATATGGCCACATTCTCAAAGAACAAATAAATACTAAAACATAATTTAGTGGAATCAGTAATCAAAAAGAATATTTCAAATCAGTAAGAATATAATGAGGAAACGGAATGAAATGCTTCAACAGAAATATTTTCCTTTCTGCAAAGTTGTTTTCATAAAACAAACAAACTTAGGTAATGACTAAAAGCTTTAGACTAGAGACCTGGAGTTCAAGTCTAGGCTTTGAAACTTCTCAGAAAATTCTGGACCAATTTCTTTATCCCTGTGAATTTCAGTCTCCCTTTTATAAAATGTAGATAATATCACTTACTTACCTTAGAGGAATATCATAAGGACCAATGGAGATAAGCCACATATATGCTTAACCTTCAATAAGTGTTTGCTTTTATTATTATTGTAAAACCACAAAGTAGTATCTGAAGAAAGGTAGATACCAAAATAAATCTATCGTTTTGTGGTTTTGCATTTTGAAAAATTGTTTTTAAGTAAATCCATAACCTTACAAATCTTTCAATCTGAATAAATTTTAAGAAATTAACTATTAAGAGATTACTCTAATTAACCCTAGTTGCGACAGCACAGAAAAAAACCCTGCATATTGAAAAATATTTTAATATTATATCTGTAATATCTTATTTTTATAAAGGGGTGTCTTGAATCCCTGCTATTAGGTTACTGGAGATATTCCCCAACATATAATTTTATTCTATATGAATAGTATGTTAGCATCTAATAAGTCATAAAAAGAAACTTAAGAAAAAAAATAAAAGCTGTTTCCTACCTTGTCAGCACACATTGCCACTTTAATATCTTGTTTTGTAATTTCATAATGCCGTATATTTCTTACATAATTCCCAACCAGCTTTAAAATGTCTGCAGAAATGTATTCTAAGACTGCTACTATGTAAACAGAAACCTGGTGGTCAATTTTATAACCTAGGACCTCCTGCAAAATTAAAAGCATGTTTAAACATCACATACTATAAATTTAACACTGATTAAAAATGAAAAACACATTTGCAACTTAGCTTTCACTTTTTTTCTGAGCCCTGTGCTTACCAGCAACATTTAATTTTAAGTGGTTCAACGATGAATAATATATATATTACTGTTGAAAATGTAAGCTAAGAAAAGGCAAGGCAAAATTACCTCTGATGATGTAAAATACTTGAGAAGTAGAGATTATAAATAGATAATCCCTAACCTATAAAGGAAAACCAAGTTTGGGGTGGGGAGCAAATGCTCTTTGTTACCTAATTCAGAATACCTAGAGGTAACTATAACAAACAAGTTTTTTCTTTTACCAAAAATTAGAGTTAATGTATTATTGGCATTTAGGAATCTCTACCAGGCTTATATGCTTATCTTTTCCCAGGGAAGATGGGCTCCCCAAAACCAAAATGGCACATTCCTGGTATCCCTGGCAATTCCTATGAAAATAAAATTCATGTTACATCCTACTGAATAACGTTTGCTGTTAAAGAGAATGTTAAATGGTCCTGATATTAGACTTCAAAGAGAATATGGGCTTTTGTGGGACTGGCCAATTCATACAGAATAATAAATTCTATTTTCCAAACAATGCATTTAAGGGAAAAAACCAACAACTTTGAAATAAGAAGTTTGTTATAAATTGGAGACAGGCTGCATTTACCTTTTAGGGTATGTAGAAACTATTAAGTGTATCATGATAAAGGTTTATTAAAATAAATTGAAATGATATTCACAATTAGCATATAAAACTCAAAATTTAGGATTATTAACACATTATTTATATAACTCAATTTGTTAATTCTCAGAATACAATTCAATCTATGGCCAAGGAAAATCATGAAGAGAATGATGAAGTAGTTTTCCATAAGGTAGATATTTCTATTCAAACAACTGAATACAAAATATAATCTTAAACTCATTCAAGTGTTTAAATTTCGAACAACACCAAGCAAACCTGAACTTTCTAACACTATCACTTAAGAGTCCTGTGAACTTGGCCTAGAAGTTACTTACTCACTTTCTGCCTCTGTCACCTCATTTACAAACTGTGGATAATAACTTTGTGGAGTAATAAAACTCAGACAATGTATTAGCATTTTATCTGTATTACAGTATGTACAAAATTACTGGCATCTAAAACTTTTAATTATTATAATATCTATATTTTTGTTGTGAGAAATAATAGTTCATTATATTAACTAAAATAGAAATAGCATTATTTGAGCTTCCAGCAGTTATTCTATTAGTTCTGTAGAGATTCAACTGACTGACTGACTGACTTATTTACATGATAAGTAGGACTGGATAGTTTAGGTGATCTTTTTGTTCAAAGATTACACATAGCCTATGACAGTTTCACAGAGGTCTCTACACAAAATATTAATATCTAAAGGATTTATAGGAACACTTAGTCTAACCAACAAGAGAGGATGAGTTTTAGAAATTGTCCTTGTGGTCCTAATTACATCTGAGATAAACAAAATCCACAGTAACTTTCTTAGTCCTTCAGCTTATTACTATTGATATGAAATTACTTTAAATCATGTTGCCCAGTTTATATTTTCTTATTTATCACAGCATCTCCTCCCACCACATTAATCACCGGAAAACTTAGAATGAGAGAATTTTACTCTTAAGTTGACTCAATTATCCATAAAATATACTCTAATTGTATGAAAATGATAGATTTTATTTTTCCCTTAAAATGCAAGAAGGGAGTATTTCAGCATTACCTTTAATAAAGGATGAATTTTTTCTACTGGGAGAGATAAAGGGTTTCTTCGCTTCCTCTTTTCAATAGCTGATTGGGCATCAGCTATTGCCCACTTATCAATTGGATGAGGGAAACTTTTTTGAACACGTTCCTTGGGAAATAGGAAAATAACAACTAAGCAACAAATATATTAAATAGTGCTCTTCACTTCAAATTTACTTTTAAAATCAAAGAATACCGAAAGTAGAGCTTTTCACATACGGTATAATTTATATTACAAACATATTGAAGCTAAGAAAAAACAGTAATTGTCAATGTGTAAGTTCCTTAATTAGGCAATAAGAGACTAAACATTCTTTCTATTGTCTAGGGTGAATATCACATCCTGAATTTCAGCTTCACTGTGATAAAGCTAATTACAAGAATGAGTAGAAGCTACTTTTAAATAGTACTTGTATAAAATTTCAAGAACAAGACCCAAGATCAAGAAGTAAATACCTAAATCCAATTCTCATTCACTTGTCCTTACTTTCAGTACTAATTACAAACTCAAGTAGCATTTTGCAATTGAACCCTCTATGAATATTCTTTATCCACCATGCAAAGGCACTTAACTTCAAAACTATTTACAAATCATGGAAAGCAATCGTTTTGCATTGGTGACAGCAATTTTAATACATTGTAGTTTCTTTAAAGTCCTCCATAGGTCATTTGTTTTTAACAAAATACTTCATTTTTAATTTCCAGAAATTCTTTAGTTAAAATTTCCACTGAGAGTGAAAGAACTCGGGTTACTATCGCAGCTGAATTTCCTTCCTTATTAAACTAATGTAATTCATTTCAAACAAAAGGCACTTTCATCCTCTCAAAGCTTTTAAAACCCACTTGTAGGATACCATAACTAAAACCAGTAGAGGTCGCTATTATATAACTTTTACACACGTATTTTGAAAAAGTATTAAACTAGTATGTAAAAACTACTAGATGAAACTAAGCATAGCCCTTATTTATAAATCTGAATAGAAAGTTTTATTAGTTGCTAGTAAAATGGAAAATTAAAAAAAAGTGACTGCCATGTGATGCCCTTGGTGGTGAGGAAGTGGCAGAGAACACAGTGATTCTTGGATATCTAATAAGCCAATCTATGATTGAGGGGTATAACCCAGTCAATTTTTTTTTTTTTTTTTTGAGAGTCTCACTCCATCACCAGGTGCCAGGCTGGAGTGCAGTGGCGCAATCTTAGCTCACCACAACCTCTGCCTCCTGGGTTCAAGCAATTCTCTTGCCTCAGCCTCCCAAGTAGCTGGGACTACAGACGTGCGTCACCATGCCCAGCTAATTTTTGTATATTTAGTAGAGACGGGGTTTCACCATGTTGACCAGGATGGTCTCGATCTGTTGACCTCGTGATCCACCCGCCTGAAGTATGTTGAAAGAAAATACAGCAGTTTAAAACGGGGTTTACAAACCTTTTCAACTGTCTAGTTGAAAAGCTGTTTGCCAGGACACCAGCCTGATGCAGCAAAAGGCAATACAAAGGTCCAAAATACTGAGGAGGCATAGCAGGTGAAAAGGGAGAGAAGGGAAGGGGTAAAGGGAGAGAAAGGAACATCCGAAACAGAATTCTTTTCTCCAAGTTAATTTTGCAGACTTGTTAATCAAAAATGACAAGATTTAGGACTAACTTATATGATTTTCAATTAAAATGTTTATAGTGAAGTGTTTAACCCATGATTAACTGAATAAGTGTAACCATGGTACAAACCTAATAATGCTATGACCCTGTGGCTTTCCAACGTTTTTTTTAAACCTACACCAAACATGCTCAAATGAAACAAAGTTTCATAAAACAAACCTGTCCTTATGATATGCAGCACACTGGCATTTTCCTTTCTGTTTGTTTGTCTGTTAGAGACAGTCTTGTTCTGTTGCCCAGGCTACAGTATGGTGGCGCAGCAACCTCCGCTCCCAGATTCAAGTGATTCTCCTGCGTCAGCCTCCTGAGTAGCTGGGATGACAGGTATGTGCTACCACGCCCAACTACTTTTTGTATTTTTAATAGAGATGGGTTTCCTCATGTTGGCCAGGCTGGTCTTGAACGCCTGACCTCAGGTGATCCACCTGCCTCAGCCTCCCAAAGTGCTGGGATTATAGCTGTGAGCCACTGTGCCAGCCTGTTTTATTTTTTAAAATGAGGGTTGGGCAATGCACTAAAGTAATTTTATTGACTTACCAGTGGTCATGACCTGAAATCTAAAAACACTGGTGTACAGTAGAGATATAAAAGCAGTGGGAAAAAAGTAAAAATAAAAAAATAAAAGCAGTAGAAAAGGACAGAAGTTGAACTCAATCTGACAATTCTAAATAGATTTACATGTCTTTGAAAAAAACTCACCAGTGGTGGAATTACAGAGACTAACTGTAGGCAGGGGTTGAGGTAGAAGAAACAGAAAATAGAACAGCAATCCCTTTCCATATCAATTATATCTACCTCATTCCAGGTTTATTGTTTTAAGGAAGGAAAGAAGGGGAAAAAAAATCTCAAATGACTTTTCTTTTTCTTTTTTTTAGTGGAGCAGCTAATCGAATGATTTTTTAAAAGGCAAAATGGTAACAATGAAGCATGGCACATTTTAAACTTACTTACAAGGGTATTAATGAAATCAAATTACCAAATACATACTTAGGAGATAATGCCAAGGGTCAAAATGCATGGGGAAAGATTAGTAGGGTCAAACAAAAAGGTGTCTTGAATGTCAAGAGCCAAACTCAAGGAATTACTTTATTTCTTGTAGTGGGAAATTTATAATTTTATAGAAAATAAAATTTCTTTCATAAATATTTTCTATTTTTTTACTTTTTATTTATTTTTGGGGAGAACAGGGTCTCTTGCTCTGTCACCTGGGCCGGAGAATGATGTGATCAAAGCTCATTGGAGCATCAACCTTCTGGGCTTAAGTGATCTCCCTGCCTCAGTCTCCCAAGTAGCTGGGACTATAAGTATGTGTCGCCACACTCAGCTAATTTTTTTATTTTTAGTAGAGATGAGATCTTGCTATGTTGCCCAGGCTGCTCTAGAACTCCTGAACTCAAAGTGCTGGGGTTACACACATGAGCCTCTATGCTCGGCCTTCATGTATTTTTTAAAAGAAGCCCGAGGAGGACTGATCAATGAAAGATTAATGAATTAAATATTATTACTCTCCTAATTTCAAGATTAATCTTTCTGTATTAAATGAGAAACTCTATCTTGATTAATATCTAGTACCTTTGGAAAACATTAATGAGATACAGAGTAAAGTTTGAGATTTAGCTCCATTATTAGCAGAACCTTGCCTTTTCCTTTACATAATACGTTTAAAAAGATAATCTTGATCAATTCCAAGAATATTCTAGGTCCTATATAAATTCCTATATATGTACTTCAATTAAAAAAATTCATATCTCCATAATACTTTTGTATGTGTGGAAGAAATTTATTTTTGTTTAGAAAGGTAGAAAATATGGCTTAATTATTTAGGGAATCTAAATGTTAATGGAAAGCTTATTAGAAATTATAAGGGCTTGGCTGGGCATGGTGACTCACACCTGTAATCCCAGCACTTTAGGAGGCTGAGGTGGGTAGTTCGATTGAGGTCAGGCCTCCTGAGTAGCTGGGAAGACAGACATGCACCACCATGCCCGGCTAATTTTTGTATTTTTAGCAGAAATAGGGTTTTGCCATGTTGTCCAGGCTGGTCCTGAATTCTTGGGCTCAAGCAGTCTGCCCACATTGGCCTCCCAAAGTGCTGGGATTACAGGTGTGAAACACCACACCAGCCAAATTTATTTATTCCTTAAATTTATGTATAAAACTGTACATATTTATCATGTATAACATCATGATGCTTGGAAGTACATATAATATACACTGGAATGGTTAAATCTAGCTAATTAGCAAATGCATTACCTCACACAGTTATTTTTGCAGTGAAAATAGTCAATTTCTACTCTTAGCATTTTCAAGAATACCATGGATATCATTAATTATAGTCACATTTCACTTTTTTCCTTATTCAGTTGCAATTCAGTGATGCTCTTCTCAGCAGTTTCTCATTGGATATGTCTATCAATCCCTCAGCCTTCAGGGGATCAGGGCAAGACCTGAGGTAGCTAGAGACTACTTCCTACCCAATCACTATGTGGCATAAAAACATTACAGTCTATGTGTGTTGTGTCCTGAAAAGGCTACAAAGCACTGCTATTACCAGTTTTTACAATTCCCTTGCCCCGCTGTTCTGCTGCTATACATCCATGAGGAAACACTACATTCAGTCCAACTATCTTTTTTTGGGCTCACACTTGAGTGCTACAAAAACAAACTCACAGAAACCCAAAGATTTGAAGTCATTAAAGTCAGACAGTCCTTCATCACTACCAGAGAACTCTGTATTTCCAGCCCGTGTCTCCCATTTTCTACCGTTGGTACTTCAAACCTTCTTCTCTCCAACTTTTGACTCCTTTCAGAGTCAGTTTAGACATCTCTTCTTCTTGGAAGCTACCCCAAACCCCAAAGCCTGTATAGTTGCTGCTTTCATGGCTTCCCACATACTCTTTACTCATAGAATATCACATTATGTTACTGACTATATATCTATCTGTATCTCCATTAAATCATAAGCCCTAAAAAAACAGGGGCCAGGCTGGGTATGGTGCCTCATGTCTGTAATCCCAACACTTTGGGAGGCCAAGGTGGGCAGATCACGAGGTCGGGAGTTCGAGAACAGCCTGACCAACATGGTGAAGCCCTGCCTCTACTAAAAATAAAAAAAATTAGCCAGTTGTGGTGGCGAGTGCCTATAATGCCAGCTACTCGGGAGGCTGAGGCAGGAGAATCACTTGAACCTGGGAGGCAGAGGTTACAGGGAGCTGAGATCACACCACTGCACTCCAGCCTGGGCGACAGAGTGAGAGTTCATCTCAAAAAAAAAAAAAAAATACAGGGACCATATCATCTTTGTAAGAGATTACAGAACCTCCTTCCTAGGTGTTTAGATGCTTCCCTCTCCCTCAATTGGTGGGAAATAATTCACTTGCCACCTAAAATACATGTAACCACTGAAGATCAAAACATTAACAGAAATGTTTTTGGAATGCTAGCTGGCTTTAATAAAAGAAATGTTTAGACACATGCCACTTTTAAAAGTATGGATATATCATTCTGTCATCAAGAAACTGTTCGTTTTAGCTTACAAACAAAAAATGGAATAATAATTCAACAACTAGAATACATACAAACTATCACATATGCAGTACAGGTTGATTATTCCTAATTCAAAAATCCAAATTCTAAAACTTTTAACTTCTTTTTTTTTGAGACAGGGTTCTACTCTTTCATTCAGGGCTCACTGTAGCTTCAACCTCCTGGGCTCAAGTGATCTCCTGCCTTAGCCTCCTGAGTAGCTGGGACTACAGGTGCATGCTACCATGCCTGCTAATTATAAAAAAATATTTTTTAGAGAAGGGGTCTTACTTTGTTGCCCAGGCTGGTCTTGAACTCCTGTGCTAAAGTGATCCTTCTGCTTGGGCTTCCCAAAGTGCTGGGATTACAGGCTTGAGCCACCATATCAAGCCAAAATCCAAACTTCTAGATGCTGACATGACGCTCACTGGAGCACTTCAGAGTTTGGAATTTTGGATTTGGGATGCTCAACCAGTAAGTATACTGCAAATATTCCAAAATCCAAAAATACCCCTCAAAATCAAAAACACTTCTGTTCCCAAGCATTCTGGATAAGGGATATTCAACCTGCAAAGAGTGAAATCCAGGCTTCACGTTCATATATATATATATATATATATATATATATATATATTTGTGTAATTAAAGGGCAAATTATATGTTTATTATATATATAAATAATATATATAATATATATATACACATATAATAAAGAGCAAATATATGTATATATTTGTGGAATTAAAGAGCAAATTATTTGCCCCTTCACTGACATTAAAACCAACACGCAAATTAGATATAAAGTAAATACAAGATAATATTTGTCATACCTCTACATCTGAAGCACTTCGGGGCTGAGCTTGGCATAGCATATTTAATAACTGCAAAATTAATTCTTCAACATACTGAAGAGCATCATCATTAGACTCAAGAGTAGGATGAACTTGCCCCTGGACCTATAAACAGAAAGCAAAGTAATTAAAATGTGGGTTCCATATCATTGAACACATTTTTAAAACTTTAAAAAATGTGGGTTTGTGGCCAGGTACAATGGCTCATGCCTGTAATCCCAGCACTTTGGGAGGCTGCAGTGGGCAGATCACCCGAAGTCAGCAGTTCGAGACCAGCCTGGCCAACATGATGAAACCCTGTTTCTATTAAAATTACCAAAATTAGCTGGGCCTGGTGGTGTGCACCTATAATCTCAGCTACCCCCTGGAAGCTGAGGCAGGAGAATCGCTGGAACCCGAGAGACAGAAGCTGCAGTGAGCCGAGATTGCGCTACTGCACTACAGCCTGAGCGACAGAGCAAGACTCCGCCTCCTGCACCTCCCCCCAAAAAAGTGGGTTTGTACTTAAGAATGTGGTCTGGCTTGCAAATACAGAGCTGAATGATACTGACCTAGAAGTCAGGCGTTCTCAACCCTTTTTCCCAGCCACATGCACCATATATGCTTATATGCTCCTGGAGATCCAGTTTACCTAATTAAATAATTTCAGTATGCTTTTTCTCATACTATGGTTACAATACAATGCAGAAATGGGGAAAGGAAGGGAAAGTCTGAGGTGATGATAAAATATACAGTTTATATGATTTTTGCCAGGAACCAGTTGGAACATTTATTCAACATTCTGCTCTGGCAAAACTGACCTCCTAAGGGTCTCTGACCCTTGTTTAACTTGACCATTCCTACTAAATGGCAAAATCCCGGAGAGACATGTCTCACCAAGTTCACCAGTATACCTATGGCAGCAAGCATTGTGCAAGGCATGCATATTACAAGCTTGATAAATTTAAGTAATATTTGTGAACACAAAGTCACTCTTTTATCAAAAGGACACAAAATGTGTGACTGTCTATACTTTAGCAATATTGGTGCCCTAATCTTTACTTTCTTTTTCCTCAACCATTTCTTTGTTTTTTTAATTAGAAGTTTTACTTAAGAGTCCAAACCGGAAAGACGCCTTGGCCATTTCTTTAGTTGAGTCTCAGGCTACTGGCCTCTCTAAAGCCTGCATGTTAATAAACAGCATAATAATCTTTACTTGCATCCCTTTGTCACTCTTTATATGGGTCGAAATTGTTCCTCACTAAATAAATGGCAAGAAAAGGTAGTTCCAGGAGAGAAACAATGCATGTTCCAAAACATGCTCAACTCTCCAACAGGTAGTAGGGCACTTACTCGATAAAAATGCACAGTATTCACTGACTCAGAGCATACAGTATGGTCTGTCCTACACTTCATTAACTGAGAGGGTGTGACAGCCTCAGTGTACAAGAAAATTTTTATAAACAGTGTACTAGGCTGGGCGTGGTGGCTAATGCCTGCAATCCTAACACTGGGAGGCTGAGGCAGGAGGATCACTTGAGGCCAGGAGTTCAGGACCAGCCTGGGCAACACAGGGAAAACCTGTCTCTATTAAAAAAAAAAAAAAAAAAAAAAAAAGCCAGGTAGGATAGCACATGCCTGTAGTAGTCCCACCTACTCAGGAGGCTGATGTGGGAGGATTGCTTAAATCCAGGATGCCAAGGCTACAGTGAGCTGTGATTACAGCACCGTACTCCAGCCTGGCCAACAAAGGAAGACCCTGTCCCAAAACAACAATAAAAGATAGTATCCTATGTAATAATTTTGTAACTGATTTGTTGAATCTATTAAATACCAGACCCTCTGTAAGGTGCTGGATATACAGATATGAATCAAACATATCCCCCTCATATGGTCTTTATACTCTTTCCTGGGCTAATCCCGGTACCATGTACCACATTTCTGTTATTGGGTTTATCATGTTGACTTTTAATTACATGTTTCCTTGACTGTTTCCTCTTTTGGACAGTGATGTTCCAACTGGGCAGGGCTTTGTTCATGTACTTGTAGGATAATTTTCTCCTTGTTTTTCACTCTAAACCCCTGACATTCAGGGGATACTCAAAGTTTCTGTGTTATAGAGGTGAGGGGAATAAAATATTTTTTTCTTAAAATTAAAATTGAAAAGGGGTGGTGGTAAGACTAGAGAGACTGGTTGCTTGATTTCAAGAGCATAAGCCTTTAAACCAGAAACCATTTACTATACAAAAGCAGTTAAAACTCAAATAGATGTTAATTGTGTAGAGTTGTATATAGTCACAACAGTGAAAATGCAATGGTTAAAAACAACGTGATACTGATTATAATTCTAGAACATATAATTCAAATGTTAGATTTGGCACTTTATATGATAAGCAAAATTTTGGAAATTCATATTCAGTTTTATTTATTGGTGGTTACTAATATCCAAATAAGAACTATTAAATAAGTAAATCAAATAAAGAATTGGTCAGCTTAAACAGAAAATAATGCATGATGCCAATTGCACTTCTAAGCTTCTGGACATTAATCTTTCTCACATCTTAAAATCTATGAAATTAGCATCACAAAACTCATCCATGTATATATCAATAAATTGCTTTGTGCCCTTAAAAACAAAAATAAAACTTCAAAAACTCCAACTGAAAAACATAGGCAATGGTCCATACTTAAAAGGCAAGTAGAGTACCAACTACTAAAAATACACAGGCTGTTCTTGATTCTTTCAAGAAGATGCTGTTAGGATATTTCTTTAAAGAGCAAACAGAAGTAGTATTACATTTCATACGTAGGCAGAATAAAAACACTTCTATTCCATGAGATAGTGTTATAGCTAAAGTGCTCCATTCCATCATAAATGGTACTCAGAGACATTTAACCGATCAAATGATCCAAGTTGTTCAACTCTATACAGAATAGGTTACCCTGTCAAATCTTATGGCAATCTTCAGAAGTCATGTACAGCTGATAGTGAGTTGCATGTGTGTTTATGAACAATTGTAAATAAGCACTTCAAATTGGGTTTAAACTATGTGGGTTTTCCCTGTTTTGCCATTTAATAGCAAAACATCAATTACTTTTGCACCAACCTAACAGTTTTCCAAAACATTACATTTTATACTTATGTTTACTTACATAGAAAATGTCATATTTATTTAACTATATTTTCTTAAATTAAGTACAATAAATGCAAATACTTTACTGAATAATTAACAATAGCCTGAATAAGAATTTTATAGTAATTCTTCTTTTAAGGAATAATCACTATGTTCAATTAAAAATGACAACTCTTGAATTATAAACTTTCCTTAAGGACTACTTCATTCTATCTTGACAGTTCATTTTGTTTCTAGTAACTTCCAGCAGATTCTGAGGCAACTTTGTTGGCCATTATTGCCAGATGTTGTAGAATCTGAAAAGGCAAAGGGATTTAGGTGTATATCAATTTCTAGTTGTTTGATACATGAGTCCTCCAAGTGTATTCAGGAACCCCTTGAGTAAACTGCCAGAAAACACTATGTTTAATTCTGATGTATCTTTCAAATCCCTTGCTAGCTAATAGCTCACTGGAGAATTGGACTTCTAGATTGTGTTCTGTCATGGCTTGGGCCCAGATCTGCTACTTTTATTTATAAATATAAAGAGAGAATTTGAGGTAAAACTGGTATTCTCAAAGCCTTTACGTCAAATCTTTTTCTTAGTGTTACAATTGTTTAGTCAATGTTTGATGTTTCAGGTGCTTATTTCTCCTCACTCTGAGGTTAAAAACCAAGGCAAAAATCTTTCATCAAGAAATAAAGTTTAAGACCAGCCTAGGCTGAGCGTGGTGGCTCACGCCTATAATCCCAGCACTTTGGGAGGCCAAGGTGGGCAGATCATCTGAGGTCAGTTTGAGATCAGCCTGGGCAACATGGTGAAACCCTGTCTGTACTAAAAATACAAAAAGTAGAGCTAGTGGTGGTGTGTACCTATAATCCCAGCTACTCGGGAGGCTGAGGCAGGAGAATCACTTGAACCTGGGAGGTGGAGGCTGCAGTGAGCCAAGATCATGCCACTATACTACACCATGGGTGACAGAGTGAGACTGCATCTCAGGAAAAAAAAAAGACCAACCTGGCCAGCATGGCAAAACCCCATCTCTGTAACAAAAATACAAACACTAGCTGGGCGTTGTGGAGTGTGCCTGTAGTCCCAGCTACTTGAGAGGCCGAGGCAGGAGAATTGCTTGAACGCGGGAAAGAGGTTGCAGTAAGCCAAGATTGTGCCACTGCACTCCAGCATGAGTGACAGAGTGAGATCCTGTCTTGGAAAAAAAAAATTAAATTTAAAAAGACAAAAAGCAAACAAACCAGAATACTTACATCTTTCCCATAGATAAAATTGACTAAAAATATTTTCTTATTTCTTGGGGCCTGTTAATTCCCCTTTAGGCCCACGTATGTAACAATCTTTTTTTTTTCCTGATCTCATTATTTACTAGCAGGGGACTTAATGGTGAAATGAAAACATGGCATCTGTCCTCAAAGAGTTCACCTCACAGAGACATTTGACATGTAAACAATTACTGTAACACAGTATTGCAGGGACTAAATAGATACATTTAAGGTATAATGATAACCAAAAAAATCACCTTTTTTGGTGCGGAGGTATGTGTTGAAGTGTGTGAAGAATTGGAATTCTTCTTAAGTAAGAAACTTAAACTAGGGCATAAAAGATGAATAAATGTGTGATCGCAGATAAAAATAACTTAAAAAGCCTGTAATCCCAGCACTTTGGAAGGCTGAGGTAGGTGGATCAATTGAGGTCAGGAGTTCAAGACTGGCCAACATGGTAAAACCCCCCTCTCTACAAAAATCATAAAAATAAGGCTGGGCACAGTGGCTCATGCCTGTAATCCCAGCACTTTGGGAGGCCTAGGCGGTCAGATCACGAGGTCAGGAGTTTGTGACGAGCCTGTCCAACATGGTGAAACCCCATCTCTAATAAAGATACAAAAAAATTAGCCAGATACGGTGGTACGGGCCTGTAATCCTAGTTACTTGGGAAGCTGAGGCAGAAGAATCACTTGAACCTGGGAGGCAGAGATTGCAGTGAGATGAGATCACACC